AAGAAGAAGAAGAAGAAGAATAGAATAACCTGCTCGTGGATGCCTTATGAAAAGGGAGGCTTCTGAGCAGAGCTCTTTCTTCTGACTGAGAGTACCTGAGTTGGCAGGTTGCTGGGAGAAGAAACAGACCAGCGGCACCGTTACCAAAGATTCTGATGGGTGCTACACATGTCTCCCATTTGGCCCTCCAGGGATAACATAACTGTTTACAGAAACACTGCTCGGAATCCTCTTAGTTTTCTGAGGGTATGAGGTGCCCACGTGAGCTGGGTATGGGATGGCACTTGTGTAGATGAGAAGGTTGCTCATTTCTGGGGCCTGGCAGTCTGGACTAACCCTGACCCTAGCAGTGGCTGGGCAGCTCTGCAACTGGAATCCATTTTCGCCTGCAGGGGCTGTGTGCAGGGCTGGGGGCTTCTACCCTGCTCCCTGTGATCCTCCTCCTCCTCTGCCTTGAGGCTATTCTTAAGGAGCTTAGAGGGAGTAAACATTTCCCCCTACCTGACCTTCAGGCACGTCCTGCGAGTGGCCCGGATGCCCTGTAGCCAGCAGTCTCCTTCTCTCTTGACAAGGACACTGCGAGAAGGTGGAGAGGAAAGTGAAGGATCAGAAATGACAGGGAAAGGAAGTGAAAAGGAGGATCCAGGGCCTCCTGCCAGCGCTGGGCCACCGGGCCTGTCAGTGTCAGCGGAGGCGCTGGCTGTGGACAGACGCTGCGCTTTGCTTTTCTAGGACTTCAAGGCAAGAAAACAACCCGAGGCACAGAACTTGCTGGCCCTTTGCTGCTGTCAGAGTGGAAATATTGCAGGAGACTGGAGACTGTACTGTGGCGTGCCAGGGTAGCGACGGCCAGGGCCATTGACCGGGCTCCCAGGACCCAGGTCCCATCAACTGTGCCTTGTGGCTCTCTGTGCATTTCTCTCAGACACACACTGCAAGACCCTTTTCCTTCTTCCTTCAGTAGCTCAGCTAAGTTCATAAACCCGCCCCAGCTCCTGGGTGCAGCCGATCTGCCGCCGCCGCAGGCTCTTTGCTGCTCCCAGCAGCCCCTGCGAGGCCGTGTCCCCAGTGTCACCCCAGGCCCCGGCTGCACGGCGCAGCCCAGGAGCCTCACGTGGGCTCTTTTCTGTGGACTCTGCGGACGAGGACTTTGTTTTCCATAACTGTCATTGTGGGTGGCTCAAATATCTCAATAAAGGGGAAAAAAGACGCAGACATTTTTCCTATTGTAAACATTCTATCCCCCAAGGGTTGATGCGCTCTGGAGTCCTTTCCCCGAAGATAATTACATCTTTAAGAAACTGCCGTGCGGCCGCCACTTGGCAATGCCCAGGGCGGGGGTTATTTTATGGGCCACGCCCGCTGTTTCATTGCCCCGTGCACCTCAAGATCCCGGTCCAGGAGGCACCCCAAGATCCCGGTCCAGGAGGCACCCCAAGATCCCGGTCCAGGAGGCACCCCAAGATCCCAATCCAGGAGGCACCCCAAGACCCCGGTCCAGGAGGCACCCCAAGATCCCGG